ACGCTAAAGCATGTTTTTTTTTTTGTCTTTTACGTACCACGAAATAAACATTTACGCAACAATAACGATTTTTTTTTTACTTACAACAAAAAAATGACTAATTCACACCGTTGAGCTCAAAAACGCACCATAAAACTAGTTTATATGACTATATTCCATGTCTTCTGAAGTCATATGATAGCATCGTGAGAGTGACGTCAAATTTCACTCGTATGTCTGCAGAAAATGTTCACAAATTTGCATATTATGATCGGTATGATGTTGATTAACGCCGTTTTTTAAAAGGCAAAATGAACCGTTGTAGTTCCTGTTGTTACTCTGAACATTTCATCAGTGTTTATCTTAATCTTTCAATAAAAACGAACAACAGGCAGATTCAAATGACGGAGGGTGCTTCTTAAATTAGTGAGGGTGCTCTAACCTTAAAATTATATATTAAAACTATATATATTAAAATGTTTGCACCATCCATTGCTATGGCGCAAAGAGCGCTCCCTTTATAATTACTAAAAAGCTATCACTCATCTTAGTTCATCGCGATCTCACAAAGTTACGTTATAATCAATGAAGGTCTCTACGCTGCACAATGAAGCTCTTATTTACATTGCGTCAACATTGACGCGGTGTTATAATAGATGATTCATGTTGCTCCAGAGATTTGAGCAGTGTGTGGATTTGAACTTAAACACCTTTTATTGGCTGTTATGTTCAAGAAATCAACAGACATGTCTGTGATTGGCTGTATTGCTTAATGCTGCACAAACATGTTGAAATAGAAACTGATCCCCAGAGCGCAAACCATAGCGCACTGGATAGTTTGCTAAATTTGCAATGAAATGCCATTATTACAGCTTTAACTGAGGGTGCTATTGATTTCATTTGAGGGTGCTTAGCACCTGACCACCAACAGTTTAGTTTTTTCTAGTCCTCTAATTTGATTGGTCTGAGCTCCAGACAGACTGTCAGATTGTGTGTCGCTTGGTGACTCACGACACTCGATCCGTTCTGTGTAACTGCACTCTTTCTAGTGTGATAATTGTTTATCACAATTATACTCCGCCTCGGAAACTATTTTTCAGACCTACTGTGAGCTACAAGCTTGTACAAGCTTTTTACTTTCAGTCTGGTCCTCACACAAAGCTGGCATATGGCTTCGAATGACTTGGAATATAGTGCACTAGTTGTATGGACTACTTTTTTGGTCTTTTCTTGTGCTATTTCGAGCTTGACGGTGTGAATCACCTTCCATTTTTGTTTCCGCAGAAAAGCAGAAACACATACAGGCTTGTAACAACATGAGTGCGAGTAAATTGCATAACTTGACGTTTTAGGTGATCTGTCCCTTTAAAGACACGCAGTCTCTTAACGTGAAGTCCCTGCTGTCTTTCACAACATTACAGCTGCTCAGACTGATGTAAGAGCAGATGGTCTCAGGACCCATTTTGAGTCTGACATTCTAAGTTGTTTGGGTTCTATTCATGGGTTGGGCTTGTAAGGTAAAGAGAATTTCAACTCCTACACAGACGCAGACCACACCAGGGCTGATCTCTGTGGAGTGCCATCGCTGCACTCCAGTGTTATTCTTGTAGTCTGTGCTGTGAAGTGATTGTACGGCACTCTGTGTACAACACATCATTACTACATGAGCAATGAGTAGAAGAAGATATATTTTTAGACTGACTCAGTATAGTGTAATGACTGTAGGAAAACCATCTATCTGTCAGCAAACTTTCATTTATTGGTGGTATTTATAATTTGTTTGTTCTTACTTTCCATCTAACATTTTATCATTCCAACATTCATTGTTCTGTTGTCCGATCTATTGTTATTTCTATCTATCTATCTATCTATCTATCTATCTATCTATCTATCTATCTATCTACAGTGGTGTGAAAAAGTGTTGGCCCAATTCCTGATTTCTTATTTTTTTGCATGTTTGTCACACTTTAATGTTTCAGATCATCAAACAAATTTAAATATTAGTCAAAGATAACACAAGTGAACACAAAATGCAGTTTTTAAATGAAGGTTTTTATTATTAAGGGAAAACAAAATCTAAAACTACATGGCCCTGTGTGAAGAAGTGTTTGCCCCCCTGTTAAAACTGTGGTTTTGTCTTTGAAGAATCTATGGTTTGTTGCATATAATTCTGGGTATGTCCCTACTTCGTTGATTAGTTTTTCGTCGTCCATTGCAGTCCGCTACTCCGCTATTTAAATTTCCTGAAGTGTGTTGTGGCGGTTGTGACCTGGTAAATCCAGTAGGTGGCAGCCGACGACAGTGAATAATCACAACAGGCAATTGTTACATAAGCCAATACTGTAATATTTTGCGTATGTAAAAATCTATCTATAGTTAAATTGTTCTATCGTTCAATGCATCATTCTATCTATCGTTATGTCTGTCTGTTGTTCTCATTCTATCGTTCAATCTGTCATTCAATTTATCGTTCTCTCTGTAGTTCTATCGTTCTATTTATAGTTCAATGGTTCTATCGTTCAGTGTATCATTCTATCTATATTCTATAATTTTTCTATTCATCCGTCTATCTGTCTGTCTGTCTGTCTGAATTGAATGTAAATGTATAGAAGACACACAAATATTGAATATGTGTATCAGAGTATAACAGCGCAAACACTGAATAAGTGTAATATTCCCAGGTATCATTGCAGTGCAGTGTAAGACTGGAGTGATGAGAAGAGTTCGGGTGAAACAGACAAATGTCACCGAGGTGACGCCGCAGACTCGTGTGTTTTGTGGATCTGCTCCTGGTGGTACAAAGCTCCCTCTGTTCCCACGCATCCTCCAACCCTTCAGCTCCAGCTATTTTTGCTCTCTGTGGGTTTCTCTCCCCATTCATTCACTCACCTCACTCTGCCCTCTTTAGCTTATACATCTGAAGGAAGAGGATAAATACTGGTTTGTAGGTGGATTTGAACCTAGATTTGTAAGACCAATATCTTGAGTGGGATAAAATGTTTTGGTAGTTGAGATTACAGGATGTAATGTCTTACAGGATATTCACGATATATTTGCAATACTATTGTTGTTGACGTAAAATTGACAATCATTGTAAATATCACAATCATTGTAATGCACTTTTAATTTTCCTAATTAGACTGGCCGTGTGATCCTTCCTTGCCTTGTGACTGGTGTCTATACGATTGATAAAGGTAGGGTAGGTGATTTCGGAAGGCTAGCAATAGCAAGCTAGCTTTGAACGCATAAGACCCCACCCTCCCTAGCATCTCTGATATAAACTTCAGGAACATAAAAAGATATAAAGTTTGAACGTTTCATTAATTTCTATGAAATGCTTGAAACGCAATGGTTCAGTAATTTGTTTGGTTCACCACTCAAAAAGTAGCATTTCTTCTTGAAATTTTGCAAAAAAAAAAAACAGTTTTCTTTTTCTTTTTATTATGTATTGTTATATTGGTGCATATCCAGTGCTCGAAGTGGGGCGGTACACACCAGTATCGGCCCTTCTTTTTTTCCACTTCAGGCACTGTGCATATCAATAAAAAATATTTAATGTCAGTCTGTGGAAAATATGCTTTGATGTTTACTGTATTTTTGAATCTAATTGGTCACAATGAAATAAACAACCTGCTAATTGAGCTAATTCAGAGCAAATATATAAATACTGATAAATGCTGATCAGTGGCTGAAAATAGACTGGAAATGTTCTATATGTTTTATATAGATGTTTTATATGTATATAAAACCCAGCACTATTTGAGAAATATTATGTAAATTAGTTGTCCTGGCTTGTTGTAACCAGTCATTAATTAGTGCAACTGACTTAATAATGACAGTTTTGTGGTGATTTGACTCCGCCCACATGTTGCTTGTGGCTGTAGAGTTGTTTTGTGACTGTTATGCTGTGAAAGCAATTACAGAAAAATCATTCTGATGCAGCGTTTGCTTGAAAGCACTTTCTCGTTTTGTCTTGTGGACTGCGTGTTACGTTATGAAACACTGAAGCGGTGCAGAATTCTGGGTAAACCGAGGGTTTACATAAGCGAAGGAGTTCAAGGCGTTTCAGTGATGTCACGTCCTCATGGCCGTGGTCAGAGATTACATCTGCATAATACGA